GGGGGGAGGCTCCCAACCGAAGGTTGGTATATCAATAAATGAACTCATTCTTAAGAAAAAGAAAAGAAAAAAAAGGAAAGAAAACTAGCCCACCGCGGTGCTTCTTCTCTCATAAAGGTTGTTTAAAAACTGGCATGTGCCTGATGTAACAGGGCATAACACGTTGGACTGAGTTCATTTCTTGACATACTAACCTTCGGATGGGTGGCCCCCCAAACTACATTTTCACCCATTTTTCAAACCGTGATTCGTCACATTTGTCAGAGGGGATTAGACATTTATTGAAAGTGCGCAGATAATCTCGATTCGAGTTCAGGAAGTTGTAGAAGATGATTGCGTCAAAACAATATGAAGTTGAACAAATTGTTCCGCCTATAAGGCTCGCACGCCGGTCAACCACCTTCAACGTGGTGGGAGGGTGGCATTTAGTCGTGTAGTCGTGTCCGATTTTGTAATTTTGGTTTATGTAACAATATTATTTCTGTTTTCTCTCCAATTATAGTATTACACCATATGCTCTGATGCAAAGCTCCGGTGTTCTTCAGTCATGCTGGAGTTTATCTTGACCGACTTGCCGCTTAGCGTTCGAAGCTGTGGTTAGGTAGATGTGCGAGGAACTGGAGGGATGGCGGCCCCCTCGCTTGAGCCCCTCGTTCTGGAAAAAATCATCGCGTTCTGGATTGAGGACTAGGACTCGCTCAGGAAATATCAGCCTATCGAAGAGGAGGCTTCCCGTCGCCTTGCCACACGCTTTCGTCACTACCATCGGATGTCGGCTTGTATGGTCCGAAAACTCGCTTGAATTTCCTTCTGCTCGACGGAGTTTTGCGTTGGAGCCTTCATCATTTTTAAATACTATTTATATAAATGTCTGTATAATAGTTGAACGGAACTGCATGTTTGAACGACTAAGAGTAGGCCACCTTAGCTCCCTCTGATCCAGAGTGGCTACAGCCACAAATATGAAGACCCAGCGCTGGCCCTGGCAATGCAGTGTTGAGAATCCAAGAAACAAGCTTGCAAAAACAGTGATAAATAGTCCTAGTACCCCGCAGACTGGGCCCAACTGTCTTCGGCGTCTAACGGTATGGCGACCGATGAGAAGCGAAGAAATCTCCGGTTGCACAGGACACCTTGGATTTCGGACGATGACAGCACTCCCTCCACACGACACGGAGACTGCTTCCTACTTTACACTTACAACGCGAGAACAGTCTCTTCCAACGCCGCTCTCCACGAGCTCCTCGATGCGGCTAGTCACACTAATTACCATGTGATCGCGCTGCAAGAAACCAAGAGCAGAAGGACCGACGTACGACGAATGAATGATGGAACCGTTATCATTCGTGGTGGAAAGCTTCCATCGCGAAATGTCGGCGGCGTTGATTTCGCCCTGCACTCATCTGTCGTTCATCTCGTCGATTCTCACAAGGTCCTGTCTCCTCGCTTTGCCATCCTATGCCTACGACATACGCACCTAAAGATCTCTATCGTCACTGCTACTCTCCACACTCTACAGCTGTCGAAGTAGAGCTCGATGCGTGTTACGACCAAATTGAGGAAATAATCCACAACGAAAAGTCCTTCTACAGTATTTCAAGCTAGTCTTGGCGCAGCACAAAAGGAGGAGTTCAGGATTGGAAAATTTGGAATAGGGGACAGGAACGAGAATGAAAACCGTCTAGCTGGACTCCTGCCCGCGGCTCGACTCCTTCACGGAAACTCTTTCTTCCAGAAGAAGGCACATCCCCGCTGGACATGGGAGTTTCCAAACGGTATAACACATGCTGAACTGGACTACATATTAACAAACAGAAGGTGGTGCTAACTGGATGTGGTGTGGTACCATCTTTCTGCAGTGGTTCTGCTCATCGACTCCGCGCTAAGATCAGATTCAGTCACAAGCTGGAAAAGATCTCTCAGCATCGCGCAAAGAACTCGAAGCATGTTATGCACGACGGAGATGTTCTGAACAAAGCCTTCCCCGATATGAATGGCGGATCTTGGATGACCCGAGCGAGGACTACGACGCGCTGGTTCGGGGTCTCCTCACTTGTGCTGAAGAGGCCAAATTCCTTCGAGTGGATACCTCCGCTCGCATTTCAGGTGCATTTCAGATGCGAGAAGGATCTTCTCAGGACAAGAAACTTGAGTCTTGACTAGAACCCCACACATCTTGAGAGCTGTAAGCGAATATCAGCCGCAGACAGGCAATGCGGCGAGACCCTAAGCTATACGGGGAGAGGAGACTACTGGAGTCAACCTTGAGCAGAACTAGTCTAAGAAAATGCCATCGGAATCTCCAAGACCACAGCATTCCACCTTTGTTTTTGAAGAAGGAGGACGGAATGCTTACAACCAACCTGTACCGAACCACGACACACGTACGAAAACCAAAATACCCCACTGGCGGAACAGCCCCTCGGATCTTTCCTTCGGAGGTGAGAGCTGCAATTGCGAGCATGAGAAGGGGCACAACTCCAGGCCCCCACAAGATCTCAGCCGACCTACTCTGTGCAGATGGCTACAAACTTCATGTGCTTCTTGCAACACACATGACATCCTACCTCCAGAAGGAGAAGATCCCTAACCAGTGAAGGACTTCGCAGATGGTCATTCTTCACAAGGAATGAGACCGGGCTGGTCTTCGCAACTACCGCCCAATAAGCTTGTTGAATGTGCTTTACAAGCTGTTCACGAAGATCATTCTGACCCGCATATCGCAACGTTGGGTGAGACTCGACCTGTAGAGCAGGCCGGATTCCGGAAGGGTTTCAGCTGCTTAGAGCACATCCAAGCGGTCGCAGTGGCGATCGAAGTGTGCCGAGAATTCCGAATGCCTCTTGTGCTTTTCTTTGTTGACTATGGAAAAGCTTCTGACAGCGTCAAAACGAACGTGGCTCTGTCAGGACTGGTCGATCAAAGAGTGGAGCCTCCCTACATAAGAACACGAGCTGCAGCGCGACGATCAAGCTGTTCCAACGACCTCTCCCCATTTCCGTAGTTAAGAGTGTGAGACAAGGCGACCGAAGCTGTTCACACCCCCGCTGCAGGGGGTTATGAAGTCGCTAGACTGGGAGGAAAAGGGCATTCGTGTAGATGGACGGTTCCGTTCAAATCTCCGCTCTGCGGACGACACCGCTCTCTTTTCAAGCACCACTGCGGAAGCTGAGACTATGCTTGCTGAACTTAATAATGCAGGAAAGAAGGTGGGGCTGCGGATCAACNNAAACAAAGACACAGTTCATGAAGAATGCTTGGGCCGACGAAGGTCAAGTTAAGATCGATGGTACACCTATCAAGGAGACCTCGCCCTCGGTCTCTCGATAGGTGTAACATCGACGTTAATGTTCTATCCCGGGCGTTCCATGAATATTGACAACAACATGAGGGAAAACTGGCGAGATAGACGGCAGAAAGCAGCGTAGGCAGCTTTCGCGCCTCTGAAAGGGGTCACCGACCATCTGGCTAACCCGGAGCTTCGCACTAATCTGTTCGATTCTCCAGTTCTTCCTACGCTCTGTTACGGGTCGGACACTTGGGTGACCACGTCAAGGGCTTGAGTACAAGTCATAGAGCGCTCGAGCGTTGTCTTTTGAGGTTCAACCGGCTCATTCAATATCGAGCCGGACTCCGCAGCTCCGATATGCGCAGACTGTCTCGTCTCTGCGATCCGGTGGAATACATGAGGAACGCAACATTCCGGTGGGCCGGTCATATAATGAGAAGAGATGATGACAGATGGACAAGAAGAATAGTCGAGCGGGAACCCATAGGATTCTCACGATCTAAGGGTGGGCCTGTGCGAGATGGGGCGATGTGCTGGTCGATCACGTGAAACAGCTGCCAAGCGGTTGAACGACTCCTCACATCGCCATCTTCGTCGAATTCTGAGTCTACCGTGGATGGCGATCGCGGAAGAGGGAAGCGAATGCTCTGTCGCTGGTGCTCGCACATGAGTGAAGACCAGCGGTATAAGTATAAGTGTTAGTGAGTATAAAGATCGCACAGCACAAGAATATAACAATATCGAACAAACATGGTTGCCTCATCGTAAACATTGCTACGCTTGCCGCTAGGAAATGCATTCTTCAAAAAAAAAAGAATACCTCTACGAACTTTGCAGGAAACCATCCACGAAGGCCGTTTACTTCGCCGACCCAACAGTGTTCGTCTTTTTCGCATATTATTGTAATAAGATCGTTTTTCCTGAATGCTCTATTTTTGAGTAACTAAAAACGGAAATCTTATTCGGAAACATGTGCTGCTCCATTAACGTAGGAGAGTGAATGCTTAAAAATCCAATAAAGTGAAGTGTAGCGGCTGGGCCCACCACGTCCAACCATCACACCGTCGAAACAAGGTCACTGCGGCTGTACAACTAAGCTGATCACGGCAAGACCATAACTTCTGGCTTTGCTATTCAGTCGGCAGCCGATGGTCCAATTTTTTCTTTATGATGAAACGCTCACTTCTACATATTGTTATTCTTGTTTTCCTCATTCATATCTACAACCGAAAGTAGTCAAGAGGGACCTGACGAGAACCTTTAAGGTCACTGATTGCGATAGTCGCAGCATTTTAAACCCCGCTCAAGCGAAAGTATCGCATTGGCGTAGAACGAAGAGCAACCACTAAACATTATCGAACACTGCTGGTAAAAGTTAGCAGAGAAGCACATGCAGTATAAGCCCGGCATGACCGCTTACCGAAAACCTAGCTCGTCTTCATCTTGACGAGCGAAGTCAAGCAATGCTCGAGCCCGTTTATGGCCTTCTCGACGCCCGGCGAGAAAGTTATCGATATCGTGCGCATGCGACTCCGGGCTATAATCGGCCTAAAATGGGTAAAAACTAAAAAGTGATACTGGTGCGTATTCCGTGTTCAAAAAAGTACAGCCCAAAGTGGATCGTGGGTTCAGCCCTGAGTGTTCACTCACACGGCAAGAGCTCATGATGATGCTATAGTTTCCGAACGGCGATACAACAATCTATTACCATAACGATTGCACTTTTCACAGAACACGGCTGCCGTGGCAATCATTGCGTCCGTTCGACGTTCTAATTTTAATATGACCGTTTGGTAATTCCGGTTGTAAAACTGATTATTGGACACGCAAAAATTCACTTCATAAGCTTACTTCCCTCGAACGTGATGTGAAGCGTTATGTGTAGGTAGGTACTCGACACCTAAAACGATTGCCATTCTCATAAGTGCATCAATCCGTCCCATTGTGTTGTAGATTACCTTACTTACCATAAATGGGTACAAAAACAACACACAGTCGGAGCACATCAAGCTAACACGGGAAAAACCTACCGGAGATTGACTTGTTTCCTTAAACGTTCAAGTAAAGTTGCAGGGCGATGTGGTTGCTACGAAGTGGTACAGAAAACCAAGCAATAAAAACATCGTCGTCCATTGTCGCTCGGCTCATCCTCTCCAGACAAAACGAGCCGTTGTAAGGAACATGTTCCGAACCGCCGCGAAGGTCTGTACCGGAGAGGATGAGCGAAAAGAATCGTTGGAAATGGCACGCGACATTGCTCAGCTAAATGGTTACTGCATTTCCCCAACCACCCACAAAGTTTTGTCCAGTGGCGCGGAACGGAGACATGGAGTACCTTCATGGAGGGGATAGTTCCCTTCGTGCTGCTATTTATCTCTGATGAAGTCAGCGCCGCCATCAGAAAATGTCTCAAGAGGGCAGGTTTGGAAAATTTAATTCTATTGTAAATGTACCACCCTTCAATCAAAAGAAGCGCCTGGTTCGGTACAGGCTATACGATCGCCTATGTACAACCTCAAACTGTGTGGTTTGTCCAGCTGGAAGGGAAGGTGATTGTAACATGTCTGGGGTGGTCTACAGAATTACTTGCCGTGATTGTGGTGATGAGTATATTGGTGAAACGACAAGACCACTCCACGTAAGAATTAAGGAACACCTAGATGGCATGAATCGATCGAGAGAGTCCACCGCCTTAGGAACCCACCGTGTTCAAAATCATAACGGAGGCGGTCGTGGCCCAGGAACCGCAATTGTGCGTGCGCAATTCCCTCGAGGCATTTTGGATACAGGCCACCAATCCAAAAATGAACCGAAGGGAGGAATGCCTAACAATTACGCGGGAACTGAGGCCTTATATAAGGTTGGCCTTCCCACAAAGATTCCGATGAAGATCAAGCCCAGCTGACCTGGTCCCACTATCGGTTGCTGTGTGATTTCGAGGATCCACGAAGTGACGGTGAGTGCTCCTCCTTTGGGTTACGTGGTGCTCTGGGGGATCTCCAAATTCTGTAGGGTTGTGGAGACCTTTGATCTAATACCCGCAAATTGTTTTGATCCACTTTCAGGTTCTGGAGAAGGCGATATGAATTTTAAAACAACCTTGTGGGAGTTTCAAGCAAGATCAACATCGATTTTTTAAATGATTTACGATCATAACACCCAGCACAAATAATCGCCTTTCCATCCCACCGAAAAAGATATCATACTATGGTGGAGAAACACTAATAGCCAAGTGGGTGAAAGTGTGGGCTCGCGTATGCACTTATTCTTATTAAAAGCGGGTGTTCGATCATTGCCTAAAGCCTTGGAAAAATCGTAGCGGCACCAGCGTTGGGCCCACTTGGGCAGGTCGACTGATAGAGAAGCCCAGTCTCAACGCATATCTAGAGCCTAAATGAAACCAATTATAGAGTTTGGCTGTAAACCGAAAAAGCGGCAAAGGTCTCTGAGTTGGAGAGTATGCGGGAGCTACCGAGAATCATCCACATCGAAATGATTAGGATTGAAACACTCCGAACGTGGGACCGCTTCCTGAGTAGTCTCGAGAGGTTGCTGATCCAATGATGCGCAGGAACTCCACGTCTTACGCCTTCAGGAAACAAGCTAGAAAGGAGCAAAAGTCAAAAATTCGGAGGAGGTATCAAGCCCTATTTTAACGGACGAAACACCGAGCGAAGTGGTGGGGAGAGGAGATTCGGTTCCAATTCAGAATCTTCGTACCCCCAATCACTAGTCTGTGGCATGACCTATCTAACGGTAGACTACTTGAGTCTCCGCTAAACCCAGCTGCGATAGTATAGATTCTACGAATTGTAAACCATATATTATTATCACTACATATTACTATTACAACTGCATATTCGAGACCACAAAACAAAATGTAAGAAATCGAAATCATTCCAAATGCTTCAAAACTGTTTTAGCATTATAAGTGATTTATCTGACATATTTCTGCAACGTTTGAAAAGACGGAGACGTTAAGTCTCTAACAACAACGTGTTTCCTTCCAGGTGAATGGAGACAGCGAGTGTTTCCACAAAGTTATGAATTTTTTTTCAGCCATAATTACTTTGACCTTCGCCGCCTTCAATGGAAAGGAAAATGATAAGTTTGTATGCCAGAGAATAAACGAAAATTAGTTTGTTCCGTCTCTGAACCATGCGGACCAATGTAAGTCGTCATCTGAGGTTGCATATTTCATGTCCACATGTAGTTTACTTTTTCGGTCAAGCTAATTGTATTTCTTAAATTTCAATTGTAACAATATTTTAATCAGTACATTCGATATTGGTTCAGTTGAATATAGTGTGACAGAGAGGGCAGCAGAACCAACGCACTAGTGGAGGCGCAACGTAATACTTTGGGAACTATGTGGGGGCACCCGTAGGGAACAGCCATGGCAATAGCGGTACTCCTCGAAGACTATCTCCGCTGTCAACAAAACCAGCGGTCAAATTGTGAGGACAGACACGAAAGAGGCCATTGGAAAACAATATCCGTGTATGTATCACAAGCCCGACTATGCCCCGAAATCGAAAAAGATGAACTATATCTGATCGTTGAAGATGACCAGTGTCGCAAGGACACCTTTTCACCATAGCGAGTGTTCTGAAAAGCAAATGGACACTGACCACGATTCGTGGTATATTATCCTTTCAAAAATTCAAAGGTACTGCCTGGCGCAGATTTGGCTTAACAGCACAGGCTTCACCTTGCAGACATAGCCATCGAGCTTTCCAAAAATTCAAGTGGCAAGAGCGGACCAGAAAAACGGAGAAACCTGTACTGAGCTGAAAAAGCACACCTCAGGTAAAAGGTACTGGAACTGGACTATCAGATCCCGAAGAGCCGATTCAGTAGGCCTGGAGCAAGACCGTAAAAGTCATCCTACTATGCGCAAGGAAAACGTTGGGGGGAACTTCATGTGTGTATCGAGAAACAAGAAAGCATATTTCCGAGGATCAGCGAGTTGTGACGCAGAAGAAAGAGCCTACAATCGCTGATAGAGAGCGCAAATTCCAGAAGACCTAGCTGCCTACGGTTCCCGAGTGTCTCTCAAGTTGCTGTAGCAAAGGCTTATAATACGACATGGACGCCTTGTACCAGAAACTCGATTTTTTAGAAAGAGAGAAGTTTGTCATCCGGCCGGCAAAAGCGCGGCACCGGTTACACAGGAAATCCGAGCAGTGAGATCCGTAAGGACAGCAGGAGTGCAATCCTATGGAAGCCTGTTGAAGTTAGGCGTAAATGGAACGAATAATTCGGCAGACTCCTGAACGAGGAAGTCACTGTAAGAACAGCCCACAATTAGAGGTGATGGCTAGCCCCATCGAACCTTGGACAGAGGATGAGGAGAGCAACAGGAAAGATGAAGATTGTAAAGAAAACTGGCCCGGATAAAGTACTAATCGAGACATGGAGGGCGCTCGGAGGGCAAGAATAAAGTGGTTCAGCCGACTCCTGAATATCGGGACCATTTAAGGAAGAAAGTATCGATGATAATGATGTGTGGAGGAGCGATACTTTGTTCAATTCCTCAAGCAGGAACAGAAGGCGGTGGAGCGTTCAAACTACCCTGGGACCTGGTTGACTTCCTACACGATTCAAGTTTACGCGCGGTGGTCGACTCAATCCGAGTGAACAGGCCCCGATCCCACGGGAGCAGATTGGCTTCATGCCAGAGAAGTTTACAGCTGAGGCCTTCCTCATAGTTAGACAAGTAATTGGTAGGTATCGTGAAAAGCGTAGGCGCGGCTGGCCAGCCTTCCCGAAGTGGAAAAGGCATTCGACCGCTTCCCACGACTAGTCCTTTTGGGAGCGGTCCGATAACGAAACGTTCTAGAACACATGATCTCCCTGGTCAAGGACATGTACGACAATTACATGACAATAACACGCACTGCACACGACCTAAGTAAAGCACTAGGTGTCTTTGTTAGTGAACATCAAGGATCAACTACGGCCTGTTCTTTCACTCCGTACAATGGACATCATCAAAAAAGAACTCACGTTTGAACCGCTGAAGACCCCTACACTGATGACATCGTTCTGACTACGGGACTACGGCAACAACACCAGCGCAAGCTGCAGAATTGACAGAACGTATTAAGAGAGAATGGGATCGTACAAAACGTGGAGAAGACCAAACTCCTTTTCTCCGGAAAGTGCACAAACTTAATCTAGACGTTCTTGCGGAAGTCCTCAAGACATACGAGGCTTGCCTTTTATATTTCGGGATTGAGCGACCCTAGTAACGCAATCTGACAACTCACAGCTCTATCGTAAAGTTTGACTTTTTTGAGGTTGTACTTACTCAGAACGTTTTGATATATGAGCGCTCCTTGTGTTGTTTACACTAACTTAAAAAAATTCGCTTAACCTCTCCCTTCCCCTTTGGCGGTGGAAATTTCGTGGAGGTCTCCAAAATCAGTTGTTCTTCCGGAAAACATTGATGCTGGGCGCAAACTAATATTGCAAGTTCGTCATGTGACCTATCATGAGATTGGGACAACCCTAGGCACTTGTGGGACTAGCATACATTCAATATTGCATGAGCATTTAACTGTCAAGAAAATTTTTTCACGTCGGATCCCACAATCGCTCGAAAAAAGGCTTGTGTCGATTAATCGAAAGAAATGCTCAAAAAATACGATCGGGATGCTTCGAAACACGTCTATGACATCGCGACAGGTGATGGATCATGGGTTTACGCGTATGAGCCCGAAAGTAAAGAGCAGTCGACCGTGTGGGCATTTCAAGATGAGCCAAATCCAACAAAGGCTGTCCGCGCACGAAGCACTTCCTAATAAATGATCACCTTTTTTCAGGAAAAACTGGACATGTCGCAACCGTACCACAAGAACAAGCAGAACAGTCAATCCTGAGTGGTATACAACCATTGGTTGCCAGTTGTCTTCCAAAAAATCAGGAAAACCAACTGCCGAAGACGGATCACTTTTCACCACGATAATGCGAGCTCCCACACATCGGCTCAAACAACTGCATTTTTGAGCACTTCTTCTTCTTCTTCTTCTCCCTAGCGTTAATCCCGCGCCGTCGCAGGGTCCGCTGTTCTTGTCAGCCGTCTCCATTTCATTCTATCTAAGGCATCTTCTGCCGTCACCTTGGCTTCGACGAGGTCCTTCTTGATCACGTCCCGCCATCTCTTCTTTGGGGCTCCTCGTGGTCGCTTGCCTTGAGCCTCGAATTCCATTGCTTCCCTTACTGGATGGCTCTGTGGTCTTCTTAGTACATGCCCGAACCATCGCAGGCGCTGCTCTCTCATCTTCAGTTGAATTGGAGCTGTTTGCATAGCCGTCCTGACGTCTTCATTTCTGNCTTTCAGGGAGTTTGCCACTGCTACAGCCACACCATTTCGTTTAGTGTCATCTCCGTTGTAGAAGAGTTTGACACCCTCTCCAATTTCTCTGGCCTTTGCTCCCTTCCAGCGGGTCTCCTGAAGGCATAGGACATGGATGTTCCTGCGCTTCATAAGATCGGCGACTTCGCGGGACTTTCCAGTAAGCGAACCCACATTTAGAGTCCCTATTCGAACTAACTTCTTTAGCCGAGGTCGTTCACTCCTCGGTAGCCCTCGCATACTGTCCACAGAACTCAGGCGAGGGCCCTGTGCGCCACTTCCGGGTGACGTCCTAGCTTTATCACGGATACTCTTTGAGACTTTAGACATATTTGTTGTGACTGGTTTCTCCATCAGCCGGCCTGTCAACCTGGCCTGACGCTGGTACCGATACCATTTTTTGCAAATTTTGCAAGGCATGGAGTTGCCTCGGCAGGGATCGAACTCGCAATTCCCCTAAGTGCAGACGTGAGCCTACACTCTTATCCACTCGGCTATCCCTGCCTTATTTTTGAGCACTCAAAACAACGATTTGATGAGCCATCAGCCATATAGTCCCCTGGTGGCTTCTTATCCCGTACGTAAAAAATAAAATGTGAGGCGAACGTTCTTCGACACCTGAAGAAGCCGTTGATGCGTTCACAATGCATGTTTTAGGGTTACCTCAATTAGAGTGGCAAAAGTGCTCCGACAATTGGTTCGGACGCATGCAAAAGTGCCTATACTCTAATGGGGAGTATTTTTAAAGGCAGTAAAGCGATCATCAGAGGTTAACATTTATTTTGTTTTCTAATCCCGAAATATAAAAGGCATCCCACGTAGATGCGAGACTGCCGACACCTTAAGAATGAATTGATTGCTGATATTGACATGAACCAGGCTGTGAAATCCCGAATGAACGCAACTTGAAGTGCAGTAAGGCCCACGATGGTTTACGGCACGAAGATTATCCCGTCAGCGAAAATTATTAAGGACAGCTAAACTCCACTGAAATTGGAGTGTTGGGGTTGGACGTGATGGGACCATATCAGAAATAAAGACGTCAGGGCGTCATTGAAACAGCTCCTGTCTAGCTGAAGATGAGAGAGCAACGTCTGCGATGGTTGCAACACGTGCTGAGAAGACCATGGAAATATCCGATAAGGGAGGACGAGTAAGGGAATAAGGGAACACGAAGCCACCGGAAAGCGACCATGAAGAGCTCCTAAAAAGAAGTGCGGCCGTGTTCAAGAAGGAAATCGAAGAAGCTAATGACGGCAGAAGATTATGTCGATAGAATAATGTGGAACCGGTAAAAAAAGCAGCAGATCCTGCGACGACTCATGGAATCGTATAGGGAGGAGAAGAAGAATTATGGCGAAGAACTCTCATATGTATCTTTCTAGATAGTTTCGAAAGGAAAAGGATTTGTCCCACAACTACTCAATTTAAGTGAATAGTCTTTCAAGACCACTCTGCAGAAATCACCAAAAACAGCCGGAAAACTTCCGAGATGAGAAACACTTCCAATCTTCTCTGCCGCGGAATGACGAACATTACGTAATACAGCCACAAACAAGTGCTATCGCACTAATTCTCATGTATATGGTTTGTGTGGGGTCTTTATACTTATACAGTGCATTTCATAATTATAAGGTCACCCTCAAATTTTGCACTTTCAGAAAATTCAATCACTAAACATTTCTTCTAGCATCATGAACGGATTCCATAGCACGAATAACCTAGGTTTCCATTTTTTGGCCGCAGCTGCATTTTTCTGAACTTTTTAAGAGCAGTTTATCGATTTTTGCACCGTTTCATAATTATAAGGTCACCCTGAGAAAGTGAACAATTATTCATGGAAGAGAGGAAATTATGTGTTTAAAGATATTTATAAAGGTAAGCATGTGTAGCAAATGCACTTCTAAACCTGGCTGTCAACATGGCTCGTGGTCATCTGCTTTCCTCTGATGAGAAGACTCATCGTGAAGGTGGGCTCAGTACTCGAGCGATCTCCAGGCAAATAGGGAGATCCCCTTGGTCCATTCAAAGATTTCTGGAGAGCCCTTATGTCCCTAGATATAACACCGACTGTGGACACTCATGAAAGATTACTGCCCGGGACGAGCGGAAGATTCTGAGGACTGTTTCCAATAGTACGTCCTCCTTGAACTAGATCCAATCGGAATTAAATCTCTCTGGGTCGAAAACTACAGTCAGAAGAGCAGTGAGAAGATGCGAAAACATCACCAGGCAAGCAATGGAGAAGGTGCCACGAACCACCGATCGCCACAGAGAGGCCCGACTCGGATTTGCAAAGATGAACCAGGGAGAGATTGGGCTAAGGTAGATCTGCATCAAAATCTCACCACAGAGCTGAATAATTCCTATTCAGGTCGTCTTTTCGGATGAAAAGATATTCAATCTAGACGGCTCTAACGGAAACAAACGGTACTGACGCCTTGAGAAAGGAACCAGTCTACTTCAGCCGTCGCAGTTTCGGTGGAGGAAGTCTATGGTGTGGGGTGCATTCTGCAATGATGTCGTGTTGGATCTACCTGTCGTGAGCTGAAGTATGGATTTCAAGGATTACCAGAACGTGTTGGAGCATCATCCGGTACTCTTTCTATGCCATCGCCATCACCTCAACTATGCCTTTCAACAAGAAAACGCCTTCATTCATTCATGTGAGCCATGCAGCGGATGAGTGGCTGCAATGCAAATAAATAAGCGTCCTGCCATGGCCAGCCTGCAGTCCCGATCTCAATCCGATGGAAAATATCTGGGGTATAATAGTCAGACAGGTTTATGCGAATAACCGTCAGTTCCAGGGCACAGAAGAGCTGAAGCGGGCAGTTATCGAAGCGTGGAGAGCAATCGATGAGGAACACCTTCGAAACCTAGTTTCTAGTATGCCACCCAGACTCTTTGATGTTGCTCTTAAACAAGGAGGAGCTATAGATTATTAAGTGTTGTGCATATGCCACCAACGTTAATAAATCATTTACTTTCTCAGGGTGACCTTATAATTATGAAACGGTGCAAAGGCCGACACTATCTTTGAAAAATTCATGAAAATTGAGGTGAAGGATATTGCGACAAAAATTCGAATACGGAGGTACATTGTGATGAGGAATCTTCCTGTGTTTACCAAAAATTCCATTCCGGCTGCTTTCTCCAGAATCGCAAAAATCGAGGGTGACCTTATAATTATGAAACGCACTGTACTACCTGGAGGGTGGATGTGGTGTGGTGGCAAGTAACGCACGCACTATCGCGCACGCACGGTCCTGGTCGGAACTAGCCCATCCCAAAAAGGCTTCCATGAGCGTATAATTGATACCAGACTCGTCTGGGAGGATAGGAGCACTGACTTAAACATCAGCAGACCATCGTGTATACGCCACATACATATTCGTAAAGCGACTATGCTTCTGAATAGAAAACGAATGCGCGGTCCCAAAGGTGAGACCGATTAGCGCCAAAGACTATTATTTTATCGCTGATGTTACCTGAAAGACAACACTCGCTCGCAGCAAACAATCGCGGGCCTATTCGGGAAAAGTGGGAAGCGGAACGGGAGCATACTGGCGAGCAAATACCGCGCATTACACTTGATATTTATAAGCAAAGGTACAACGAACATCAGAAGGAAAGATGATGACATAGTGAAGAGGCTCACCTGAGTGATTATGTTCATTTCCATTTTCTCATCACAGTTGATGAAGTAGCGGCAGATTTGAAGAACCGATTCCTTTAAATCCACTAGAATTTCCGTTTGGCGAACATTCTTCAGTTTTGGATCATTATCACCCTAAATTTCTATGACTGTTGTAAGGAACGTCGAAAAGGGAGAGAACGGAATGCATATCCTACTTATATAACCCGCCAGTGTGTGTGTGTGTGTGTGTGTGTGTGTGTGTGTGTGTTGGGAACAATTGTTCCTGCTCTCTTGCTCGAGAGCTCCTAAGCTTTGGAAGCTTTGGCGAATGCAGGCAGCGGGTCAAGCTTAACACGAGAAGTAGGAGAGCCTGGTGTCAGATGGGCGATCTGACTTGTGTTATACATATACCAACAGGGGCGTAGCTTGCGTGAAGTGAATAATTGAGATGAAACTTATAACTCCTGTCTCCTTGGACTTAGAGCGTTCAAATTTGGTGGGAGCCCTCGAGGCAGGATGAGAACACTTATGGTAGGTCGCAGGAACGGGACCCGCCCACATGCGAGGTGGTGCATAAAATGAGCGTAATCTCAGGGAATTCGCGCAGACAAGTTAAAAAAAGGAGGGACAGAACAAATCACTTAAACACACATGAGTTGAGCACAACTTCGCTCATGACGAGGGAGGCGCTCACTAAGTGCGTCGGGTGTTTGTGCATGTGTTTAACAGTGAATTTTTATCTCCTCTTCTACAGAAGACGACGGGACGAGAAGACGTAGGCAACATGCTATTTTTATACGAGGAGGATCGTCTGGCGTAAGCCGCGCGATCGGATTGGTATCTTTTAAACTGGTCAAATTTTCACTTACTACACAGCAGCTAGTGCATCATGTCAACTGACCTCGGATGGACAATTATGGGCAGAACTGTGGTGGCGAACCGGTGAGCGTTCGAGTGCGTATATGCCTTACGGCAACTTACTCATCCAGAACGCCTCTACTATTCCGTGAACGAGTGTAATACAATGGCCACGATAACTAGTCAATGAACAAGTCAGTGCTTTTATGCTTGCAGATAGCCTGTTACCCGTTAACAGACACTAAAGGAATGAATGTTTAGTTACCCTGAGCGAGTAGCATTCAGAGATTAGAACCCGGACTATGTGTGCGGTAGAGAACACACCTCCGCCCAACGACTCAGGTCACGGTTAGATTGAGCATAGGCTGAGATATAATGCAAAGACACCTTAGGACAACTTCGCGTGGGGAAAACTAGAATGACTACCCTCGAGCTAGGCCGAATAGGGCTACTAGAAAAAATAGTTCGTTTCGTTCATTGCGGTCGGGTGCCATCGATCGCGCTATTGACTATTGATATCACGTTTGATCTCTGAACCGCCTTGTGGCCGGGTGGTTAATTTTGGATTCCCTTCTGTTGAGCCACCTTTTAAGGTCTTTCGAGTTCTTTGCTAGGTAAATCATAATGGATACTCCCCTGGCCGCCTCTCTCGTTCAGGTCCAGCGTAAGGGTGCGCAAAAACGACATTGTACGGATCTTGAATGTTCGCCCACGCCTATGCCTGATCTAGAGAAACACATGTCTGCTCTTCAACAAGACGAGTCGCTACCTTTACATTTGAGGATGGTGCTGTCATATCTCATTGATGACAGAAAACGAACCCAAGCCATAGTGCAACTCTGTCGTGAGCTCAGTGAAGAAGTTAAATCTTTGAGGCAGGAAAATTTTAACTTGAGGAAGCAGCTCTCAGATATAGGTACTGTCACTCCGAATGCTATTGTTTCTCGTACTGAATCTGTTCAGCCCATTAGTCAAACCTCTCCTTATGATGTTTATATCTCCTACGAAGAGGTAGAGCGTAGGCGTTCTATCATAATTACTGGTATTACTGAAAGCAATTCTACCTTATCTTCTGCAAGAGTTTACCATGATGTTCAACGTGTAAGAGATATCCTTCAATATTTATCGATTGATTGTTTTCCTCTCGCTGTCTACCGTCTAGGTCGTTACAACATGTCACATCCTAGACTACTTAAGGTTCTGCTCCCGGCATCATTCTTCGCTAGGCAAGTACTTAAGCGCGCTTCCCGTTTGAGGCACTATGGGGTCTCTGGCCTCTATATACGTCCTTCTCTCTCCAAATTGGAAAGAGAAAGGCGTCGTGTTGAACGGGAAACTCGCAAAAATGGCTTTAATGCTTCCTCAACTCAGTCTACTCTCAACAATCATGGCACAGATAATGTCGATACTGGTGTTTGTAATGACTCTCTCTCAGTCAATCCTGAACCTAGTTATCCTGATGCGATGTCAAACTAGGAATTCCTCGTCGGCCTATTGATAGAAGTGTTTCTTTTTTATTCGCTAATATTCGATCATTGTCCAAGAACAGGTACGCTTTCCTTTCGCTGCTTGACTTCCACCACTATGACATTGTCGCCCTTGTGGAAACTTGGCTTTTGCCTGAAGTGGATATTTTGTCACTTCTGGGTAGTCGCTCGTCTCAATACGAAATCTTTAGATGTGATCGCAAAAGCAAGAAAGGGGGTGGCGTGGCAGTTTTTCTTCGTAAATCCTTTTGCTCTAATATGGTTTTTGCTGAATCTGTTCTGAACGGATACGGAATTTTGTGCTGTGATTTGATTACTAATGATAATCCTCTTCGTATGGTGGTTTTCTACAGAGCTCCGAATTGCCCCACCAGACAAACAGAACAAATGATTAAGGCGATCAGTGACATTGTCTCGTTTGGCGGTAATTGTCTTATCTGTGGTGACTTCAATTTGCCGGACATTACCTGGTCTGATACTCCCGTTGCTACCTCGTCTATCTCTAACTCTTTCTTGGATATGTGCTATTCTCATTCCTTGCACCAGTTAGTGAGAAAAGGCACTCGGGGTACCCATATACTAGACCTTATTCTGTGTAACGATGAAACCTTGATATGTGACTTGAAAGTTGGCCCCCCTATTGGCTCCAGCGACCACTGCTCCCTCAGATTTTCGGTCAGTATTACTACCCCGCCATCGATGATGGTGTTCAAACGTAATTTCAAAGACGCAAACTACGATGTTATTTGTTCCTATTTGAGTGGAGTGGTCTGGTTGGGTTCACTTAATGCTGCAAGTGCAGTCAATGAAAAGTATGAACTATTTCTTGCCATTTTGCATCACGCTATTGAAATGTACGTCCCCCTCATTAAGGTTCCAGCCCATAAATCTTATCTTCCTCCATATCTTTACTTTCTTTCTATCAGAAGAGCGGTCGCATGGGACAAAGCCACAACTACAGGTGAAGCTGTGGATTGGGCTACATACCATAGAATTAATAATCGTTTTACAAAGAAGCTTTGGAAATTCAACAACAGCGTTGAATTGAAAGTAATTCGTAGTAATGATAGGGGCGCGTTCTTCGGCCTCCTCAATTCAAGATTGAAATCATAGGCTGCCGTCCCTAAGCTGGTTGCCATGGACGGCTCCGTTGCTGTTACAGATCAGAGTAAAGTTGAAGTCCTTGCAAATGTTTTTGAACAGTCATTTGTTCGAAGTAACAATTCAGCTTATCCTGATTCCACGTTGTCAGTGGTTTTGCAAGTTCCCATCATGTCTGATTCAGTCTGGTTCAACGCAGAGGAAATCTATGATCTGCTTCATAAATGGCCTTCATCCTATTCAATCACGGTTGATTGCATACCTCTTTCTTTCATTAAAGGTGTCGCTCATGTTATTGCTAGGCCGTTCGAACATTTGTTCAATCTTAGGTTCATGCGATCTGAAGTCCCTGCCATGTGGAAGTTGTCGCTCGTTACTCCGGTTCTCAAAAAAGCTCCCTCAACTTCTCCGAGCAACTATCGACCGATCAGTATTACATCAATATTTGCCCGACTTTTTGAAAAGATTCTGAAAAAGAGAATTGAGGCTCACCTGCAAGCTCATCGCATCATTCCCCCCAGCCAACATGGGTTTCAGAAAGGAAAGTCAACGGTTACTGCTATGCTTTCTACACTGAATGACCTGACTTCCTACTTAGATAGTGGGACGTGTGCAGACGCTATCTATCTCGATTTCTCTAAGGCGTTCGACCGTGTGCCTCACGAGAAGCTGTTGTGTAAGCTAGTGACTGTGGGCATACATCCACGCATCGTTTCATGGATCAGAGCTTTTCTTTCGGATCGCTGGTTCGTGGTTCGTCTTAATTCAAGCTTTTCCAGACCTCGATCCGTTTTAAGTGGAGTACCTCAGGGTGGCGTTCTCTCGCCAGTACTTTTCAATATTTACGTGCATGAATTGCCTAATTTAATCGCATCCTGTGGTGTGAAGAGTGTGGCCTTCGCCGATGATATAAAAATCTATAAGCAAATAACCTCTCCTGAGGATTGTGATACTCTCCAACATGCCCTCGACCTTACTTCTACATGGTCTCAGGACTGGTGCCTGCCATTGTCTAAAGAGAAAACTAAATTTATACGCTTCCAGAACCGCTCCACTCTCGTTCCTGGTGATCCCTCCTACTATATTGATGGTGCAGTAATTGAAAAGGTTGATAGCATCGTTGATCTTGGGTTCTTAATGACACCTGATTTGAGCTTTGACAACCATTGTGACAGGATATCTTGTAAAGCTCTGCAGGTTGTCTCCAGAATTTTTAGAGCCCTGACAACTAAGAACCCTAGCATTTTCCTGTTGGCTTACAAGTCATACGTGAGACCACTAATGGAATACGGTACTGTTATTTTTAATCCCTACAAACGTAAGGCGATCGATAAAATTGAAAAGGTTCAGAACAGTTTCACAAGAAAACTTATGATTAGAGTCATTGGGTTTCTCTACGACACCATCCCCTCTGCTGCGGAAAGGAATATTAACTTTGGCCTCCGCTCTCTCTGCTGGCGCAGACACAAATTTGATTTGCTTCTTCTCCATAAAATTCTATTTGGGCGTTCCTCATTGGATCTGTCTACTTTTTGTAGTGTTAGAACATCCACTACCAGAGGTGGAACTAAACTGCTTCTCCCCAGAGCAAAACACAACTGTAGGTCTCGGTTTTTCATTAATCGCGCCTACGCCTATTATCTTAAGTTGAGCAGAAAGAAAAGCGTCCCCGTTAGCTTTGAGGCTTTTAAGAAGTATCTTGATGAAAACCTAGACGTCGGATGACTTCCTAGTGGTTACGACTCTTGTCCTTTATGCTTAATTTTCTTATATTCCTATTAGTTGTATCCTTCAGTTGCCGTTTTTTATTGTCATCATTCCACAGCATACCTCTATAACAGACTGCCTCACGCTGGCAGACATTCTTATGTTGCATTTAAACTCGGTGCCATATTGTCGTTGAAGTTATTACTTTTTCTTTCTTCTTTCTCTATCACATGAGGTATCTCATGTAATAAATAAATATATATAGTGCGGAAATGGAAACAAAAATGTGACCGCTCTTAAAACAACTCGAAAATGCTGACAGACCGCTTTCGAGTGGAAGATTTGTTGGATGATGCTCTTAGAACGTGTTAGTTTTCGGCGTTGAACTTTTTGCTTAGGTAAGTTTGTGTCCGTGGACGTGTTCACAATCATACCTTGATCGGCCATTAAAATTGCCTAGAACTGAGCATAATCACGACGAATAACTATGGTTGGAGGAATAGAAGTAGCAATAACTATATAAATCGAATAAATCGTAGCACCTGATGCTCCTTCATTTTTTATAGTCACTGTGACTTCAATTACACTGTTACTATTACTGACCTGATGCTTCTTCCGTAATTCGTTGATTAGGTGTTCGGTAATAGTGAACTCGAACGATGTCATATATTCGACAAGTTTGTCGATTTCAATTACCTGTAAACCAGTAATAAAGACGTGTACAGATTGAGCGTAGCGCTGACGCAGAACATCTAGAAGGGTTGTTTACTATCATTTGTCTCACTAAATAGCTCATAAGAGAAGACGATTTTCGTTGCGGTCATAGAAAATGAACAGAGAGTTCATTGAAAAATCAGACTTCAACCACAACACTGCCCTTTCAAAACCTGTTGTAAGCGGTTTGAATATACCACGATCTCCACCTGATTGTAGTATTAGGTCGCTCATTCAAAAGCGCGCAGACCTTTGAAGGATTGGAACGAAAAGAGAAGATGGCTCCGACGGCATTTCTTGATGTGAAGCTAGTACAGCTAGATAGGTCACTGTTCAACTTCGCAGTTCATTTCATTATTGCCGCAGAAAAAATTTGAAAAGAAATGTGAGTGCAAAAATCAGCGGAGTTTGTAGATATGGCGTCGTAGACGGGAAACACAATGCTCAAATTCATCATGACCTGGACCAATGTTTGCAAGGCACGGTATTCTCTAAGCGTATTTCGAAAAATATGCGCTAATAATTACGGAAGGGAGAACGGAAACAAGGAAAGGTGGAGGTTGTTCCCAAAAGTTAACTCTGCCCACGACGAGAAGGTAGATGAAATGAAGCTGAATGATGAGTCGAATGGCTGAGCGGTGAGACTCAACTATTGTCGAACTTGCCCAAGAGATGACATACCCGCTGACGATGGTGAATTGTGTCCAAATTTTGAAGACAGCCAGAGAAATGTGTCTATAGATACCTCAGTTCCTCACAGTAGCAGCAGTTCAAAACCGAAGTCACGCCTGCGACAGCAATCTTCGCCGCCATGGAGTTCACTCGTCATTTTTAAAGGAACATAGGCTACAAACGAAATATTGGTGAGTTTACCATGCTGAGCCCAAAAAAAGACAAGAGCCGGATCTGGATGAATGCAGATGAAGCAACAGGCTCACGAAGCGCATCTAAGACGCTCATCACGACTTAAGCATTCTAAAGATGACGCTTGGACGACTCTACGTCCAATAAAATACTTTCGTTGTTGAGGGTATCACCAGTTTGCCGACGATGATATTGCCAATCGGATAACATCACACACTTACAAGAAGACGATCATCGCTAACGACCATGCCATCCCCACGGATTGTGCGGCAGTTTTTCAAAAAATATCGAAACCTGGTTTCAAACACCATATTCTCTCGAACTACAATCGTGCGACTTCAACTATTTTGTACACTCAATGAAACGTGTCAGTGGTAATCGCTCTAACAACTGCTTGAGACAAGGATGGAGCTGTTCGACTAAATACCAGAATATAAGCTTCTCGCCTCCTTTTCTTTTCTGACCATTTTCTTCGAAAAAAAAGCTTGCAAACTTCTGAAGGAGATGACCCAGTCTATTTGTGGTAAATGTGCAGTCAAGACTGCAGGGAGGGATAGCCGAGTGGATAGGAGTGCAGGCTCACGTCTGCACTTAGAGGGAGTGCGAGTTCGATCCCTGCCGAG